TCGCAATCAGCCTAATGTATGTTGTGTAGAGTGGCCGGCAGAGTCAGGCTGCAATAGCTGCGCCTTAATGTGGTCTCTCTGGCCCTCCCACTTCATGTGGTGGGAGCCAAGTGTTACGGCTCTGGCCACGCCAGCCACCTGCACCATCTCCCATCTCCTCGACTTGGTCATGAACCCGGGACCAGGTGTGGGAGGAGAGAGTGCGATTTACGCAGCGCAAGTTAACTACCACGCACAAGCCACCGCCTCTGTGCCACGTTACTGGATCTAGTCGAAACCGACGGCCAAACTGTCATAGATAGGGTGGATAATTTGTTTGTGCCTTAGCAAAGGGTTGAGCTGAAACCGCATACCACGAAATCAGTGAGAAAGCGGAAGTACTGAGGCCGAAATGTTTAAATTGAAGTGATGGTGCAAACAGATGAAAGTATAGAAAAGTACACACATTAAAGTACTGGCAAAATATAGAACATCCTGATTTTGGGATGCATAAAATTATAGAAAGTTTAAGATTTTCGCAATAACCTCCAATCTCGCAAAGTGCATTTTTACTAACACATGGAGGTGCAGCAGCGTTTGACCGCATCTCTAAAACAAAAGGAAATTATTTAATAGACGAGAAAAAGTAATAAGGGGTAAAAAGGACGCCAGGCGGCAAGCTCAGCATAAGTAACCAGGAGCTATTACAAACCCCCATTCAGTTAGAGATTCGCCAAGAAAATATGTTATTGACTCGACCTAAGGGCAGAACTCATTGGAAACTCTTACGGCAGCATACAACAAGTTCAGCAGATTCTGGGATTTTTGGATGCAGAGTGGGACTGATTATTATGGTCTACAGACGTGTTAATCAGGACCCTAGAGGAGTAGGTAACTGACTAGTGACGAGGACATGACATATAGGGTAGAAAACAGCGTGTAAGCTGCAGTTAACAGGTCAACTTGTACTGCCACGACAGCCGCTGAGAGAACTAGGTGTTTGAGTATATTGAGCGTTGTAAGGAGTAAAACCCGCAGTAAATTATTTTACGACATCATAATAGTTATCGCATACAATCAGGCCATATAAAGCAAATATGAGATGATAAACAAGATCGGAAATGATGCGCTTACCGAGCAAGGGGAATGTAGGAGATAGAGTACCATGTGAGTGCAAGAAACTGGAAAACTGAAAACAGTAAACACAAAACCGGTTTTCCCCACTAAGAGTATAAATTTTAAATAGAAGACATACCACTACTGCCGAGAGGATAGTCAGAACCATAAATAACTATTTAAAAACTATTAGCGATAAAATTCAGTTCTTACAAGAACCAAACACGCTGCAATTATGCGGGTTTCTGCAAACATTCGTTTGCACTGCTGCACGGGGCCCATTAGGAAGAAAGAGCTGTACAAGGATGCTAAACAATCAATAATGAGTTACCTTGCTAAAGAACACAGATTGCCAAACGTGTAGAAAATGGCGAATAACTTAAGACCCGTATGAGGAATCCAAAGGAAAAGATTGCCCTAGCAGGTTATGAAAAGCTAAGGTGCTAC